TACTCGTCTCCGTTGGTTCCCGCTGAAGGTGCATCTTTCACAGGAGTCCTTGAAGGAGAAATTAAACCCTGGTTTATACTTCATCTGGTACCAACGCCACTCCATATATTATGTGTTTCTCCAAAAAAGTGATGACTTTTGTCAAGTTTAGTAAATAAATCACTTTTTATTGCCCTGAGGGATGTCTCTATTGCCCTGAGTTGCTTACGGATAGAGAAAAACCGAAAGATGGGAATTTTTCCACCACCGATGACGGAGATTCCAGTAGGGAGAATTCAGTGTTTTTGATCGGTCTGATCAAATTCAAATGCAGTGAGGACTCCAGGCTGTTGAATTACAGCCCATCACGTCACATTATTGCGTTGTGTTGTAAACGTCTGCAGTAGTGTGGAACAGAACACAGAGGATGTCACGGTGTTGTTTAATGCCTAGTCAGGCATGAATGCCTAACGCAAAGTAAATCAACGTGTGATTGTTTTATTAGCTGCAGAAGTGACACCCTGGTACTGTATAAGTGGGAAGGTAACAGGTTGTTCCTGCAGAAGGTCCTCCTTTTTTTATTCATAAAAACATTAAAGCATCTTTCTTTTTTCCCCTGTGAACAGTTCACAGTGTTATTTTCTGTTTTTTGACCTTTGTCTTGAATAAAATGTATGGAAATGTTTACCTCAACTCTGCCCTGTTTTTAGTCCTAAACGTTTACTCAGCACCATGTGCAATTAATGTAACTATGTATCAAGAGGTGAAATGAATGTCAAGGGTTCAATAACAAGACACAAGTGTCTGTTTCTCTGCTTCGAATATTTTTTTTTTTTTTAATATCTACCATCTCTGCACCACTAACCTTGAATCTTTCTATTTTGCTATTGGATCTAAAAAATAAACAAATAAAAAACATTTGTGCCAAAGAGCGACTGAGTTCATTGCATTACGGTATTTTGCTTCTTTTTCTTTATCTGCCCTTGCTTATCTAGGTCACAGTTGGGGTGGCCACCCCCGGAATTGCTGGCCACCCACTGAACTGCCTTTGGAACTACATTTTTAATGGAAAAGAGTCAAGGACATAGAGTAGTAAATGCCATATGTAGTTATTTTTGTAAGCATTTCTAGATAAGACCTTAGGGAAGGACAGGGAAAGTTTAAGAGAGAGAGAGAGAGAGAGAGAGAAAGAGAGAGAGAGAGAAGGAAGTGATGCAGAACATGACCCCAGGCTGGAATCAAACCTGGGTAACCACAACATTTGACTGACTACATCAGGCCATCCATGTAAAAACAATTCTCAAGATGCAAATACTGAGTTGATCTGATGCCAAAGAAACACTTTGAAAAAGTTGCTTTCAGTGAGTAACATCCTGGGAGGTTAGTCAAGTACCAGGTAAACTAGTAACTGGTTGTGGTTACTGGTTACAAATCTTCTTGAATTCTAGTTCTAATCAAGCAAACATGTACATTGATTTTAAGAGCCGTATCCTGGGGATGCCATGGACTGATGCCTTCACTGACATTATAAAAATAATAAAATGAATAAAGAGGAATTTCTTTAGATAAATGCCAAAAAAAGAACTAGTCCTAAAATATCTGCTGTGTTCGGAATCTATCAAAAATCATGGCCATGTCTGCTCTT